CTTAAATATTGTAGATATGAAGGAAGTTCACTTACATCTTAAATGCAAATGATATTTAGATACAAAAAACTTGCAGCATATTTGCATTTCCTTGTGATTTATACCTCCTACTACATAGATATGAAGACTTATCTGAAGTCTTTATTTCATCCCTGCAGAGTTCAAAGATCAGACAAATTTCAAACACATAATCTGTGATTCCTTCAGTTGCTGTGCCAATAATCCCAATTGGCAGTGAAGGGAGCAGAGGTTGTAACAGCAGCAGTCTCTCCCCATGAGATGCAATGGCTTTCCAGCAGTTATGGTGAAGTCTGAACATCTACATTAAGTTCTTGAAGGGCTTTTCTTTGGTTTTTGGTCCCACTGGTGCAGGCTGGGCACATGCTGGGATTTCTTTTCTTTCAGGGCAAGTGTGAATTATTGCCTGAGGGTCAAAGTCAAGCATTATTTAGGAGGGGGAGGAAAAGTGTTTGTCAAACAAATTTTTGTGTTATCTGGCAGTGTTACAGCTGTGATGGACAAAGTTCCCACAGTCTTGAGAACATTTGCCCGTGCAAATATAATTTTAAAGCTTTCTGTCAGTATGGAAGATATCTACCTGTTACAGCATCCTCCAGGTGCATTCCTGGGCTGCTGGGGTGACACCTTTGAGTCAGGGATTATGGCTCTGCCTTGGCTTTGGGTGCCTCCATCCTTAATGAGTCTGGGTGACCTCCTAAACCAACAGTGAGCTTCCAGGTATCTGCATGGCCAAGGGCAGATGAGATGTCAAGGGCTGCAACTGCTTGAGATTCCTATTTCAGTTTTCCATTTGGGCTTTAATCTTCTGATAAGCCACAGGTGCAGTGAGGGGAAATGTCAAGGTAAATGAAGACTTGAAGAGCAGCATTCGTCAGGGGAGAAGTAACTTCAGTCATCAGATATTTTACTTGGGCAGAAGCAAGAAATAAGAGATGAGGTGTTTCTGAGAGCATGATGTCAGCCAGGAATCACTCCTGACTGACAGTCCTTGTCCATCTCTGCTGCAGTGCAAGGGCTGCACGCAGGGTAGAGAAGAGGGAAATACATGGTTACTTGGAGTTCATCACCTGCAGTGCTTGCTAGCTCCAGAGCTCTGCCTGCTCTGCTGCATGGCAGGGTATTAGCTGTGTGGGAGGCACCTTGTCACACTTGCTCTTGGCACTTCTCCCCATTCCCAAACTGGCCTGGATAAAGACAGGTTAAAGAACTTGGTCTTCTTTGCATTTCTAAGGAAATAAGAGCAAGGATTCAGTGCAGTGTTTTCTTGAAAGGCTGTCTCTTTTCATGGCTTCCTCCAGGACTTCAGCTTTTCCCAGCCAGTTTCTGCATCAGTAGGTTGATCCTTTGGGAAAGCAGAAGTTAATTTCTCATTATTATCATGCATAGATGCAGAAGAGGATGGAAAATAGTCCCCTTCTGTTTTCCCTTGGCTCCATGATAACTTCATAGCCAGCGAAAATATCATGCAGGTAAAAAATAGCATCATCCAGGCTGTTTGCAGGAGCCATTTCTCAGTGTGGTGGGTGGTAGGGATGGAGGGGAATTGTCACCCAGGCACTGGGGGCAGCTTCTGCTCGTGCACTGGTGAGGTACAGGAAGGGTCAGGTGTGTGGTACCTCTGCTTTATGGCAGCTGCATTAAACATCCATATTCATCCTTTAAATAGCCTCCTTGGGTTGGAGCTGGAATAAATGCAGATGATATAATAAGAAAATAACTCTTAGAGCCACGGACCTTCTCAAGGAATGGTTCTAGCTGATCTTGCTCCGTTATCTTGAAAAAGAGACTCTTGCATTTGCAGTATTTGCAATTCTCTTTTGGCACGCCCAGATCCTGAGGCAGTAAAATGTAGTTTTCATTAACTGATATGTCTGACATTTACCACATCTCGATGTGACAATTTAGAGGGAACTGGTTAAACTGAACAGCATTTTTAATATTGAAGTAATGTGATTAGGGGGAAATCTTTGTCCTTCAGGCCAGAGAGACCTAAATTTGAGCACTAATGGAGAGGCAGATATGAAGCGTCAGTTGACCAAAATATCCTAATCTTAACTTGCTTTCTGTTTATTCCCTTTTTGCATCTGGTTCCTGTTAACAAGAAGTAGGTTTAGATTCCTGTGACCTAGGTGAGGGACTTCATCCAAAAGAAACAAAATCCGCTCAGGATTTAGACCAGAGGTCAGTATACACTGATGAGTTGGGTGTCAAATCCAAAATGATATCTCTGGAAAATTTTTCCTGGAAATCCCGTTTCCTCCGTTCCTCCCTCTCCTTGTCTTACTGAGGGAAACGGGTTTATCCAGATCACTCCTGAGCACTGTCAGGAGCCCTGGGTCACCTCGATCACCAAGTTCCCAGGCCCATCAGTTGCAGGGGATGATTGTTCACGTTAAAAATAAGTAGGAAAATAGAATTTAGGATCTTCTTCCTAGCTGTAGCAGGAACAATTTGGGCAGAAGTAGCTCTTAGGCTGTTGTGGCAATTTGTGAGAGCCTTGGCAGTGGATAGCAGGGTGAGAGGGAAGAAAGCATCCCAGATCTCATCAATACTTGAGACAAAAGGCTTTCTGCTTTGCAATTACTCTTCCTGTCCTTCCCCCTCCTTCCCTCAGACAAGAAACCAAAATAGAGATTAGGCAGCTTTTAAATGCCACAGGCTCATAAGGAGGGGAAATCCAGAGCTGATCAAGAATTGCAGCCTGCGTTCAGGCTTGTGACTTTGTCCCTCTCATCTGCAAAGGGAAAAAGGAAATCCCCAAATTCAGGCTGAGTGGCAAAACCCCCCGGGATTTGGGCTGGAGTCGCATCTGTCACATGCCCTGGGAATCCCTGGCAGGCCTCGCCTGCTGCATCTTCCCACGATCAGTTGTGTGCTCAGGGCTATGTCTGAGCACTGAGGGATGAGCAGGGCAGAGCTTTCCTCTCTTCTTTCTTACAGTGGGTGAAATACAGCAGCAGCATAGATCAGGTTAAAATCGAGTCTCATCTCATGAAGTTATCTTTAAAAACCAGCTGCCTTCTCTGAGCCTTAAAGCAGCTCAATATGCTCTTATCGAAATCAGAAACTGCTCCAGAGATCCTTAAGAGATTTTGTTTCATTGGGCTCTATTTTCTATAAATCTCGTTAACTGCTTTGCCAGTGCCCTCTTTACTGTGTTCCTTTTTCATTGCAGAAGTAAACCAACAAACCTGGTTCCAGCCCTGCAGAGCAGCAGCAAGGCTGCAGAGCTCAGCTGTGCCCTGCCTGTGCCCACATGGTGCTGGGGGCAAGGGAAGCAGGATTTCCCTGGCATCAGAAGCCTCCAGGTCCTTTGAGCACCTGTTTTCTGAAGCACCACATATCTGAGTGCAGAGGCATCAGACAGGAGATCCGTAGTAATTCTGTCAAGACAAACACAACTGGCACCAATACCAGTCTTTTATTTAAAACTTTTCACACCTTCTTTCAATGGACTTCTCCCAGGCAACTCTGACTCCTTCCCTCATGGGCAGCTTCACACAGCACTGACTCCTTCCCTCCTCTCTGCAAGTTTCCTTCTTCATGACTGGCTAATCCTCCACCTCACACAACATCTTATCTGTCCCTTACATGACCACATGTCCCCCTACCTCAGCACACCCAACAGACTCCAAACCACACCCCAGCTGTGACTACTTAGCCCACACTTTTATAACACCCAACCTCATTGGGCAGGCAAGGCTATTTCCACTTCTCAGTAATCAGTGCAGCTGTAATTCGTTGGGAAAGATTTGCCTTCTGCACTAATCTTACAAACTATTCTACTACAGAGATCAGCTTGTGCTGGCTTTTCATGGTCTGCCCTGACCACAGGAGTGACTTGTCAGCCACGGGACACAGCCCAACAGTGCCTGGGGGATCTCTGGTGGTGTGAGAAGAGTTTGAGCTGACACGTGGAGTCACTGGGGGTTTATAGAATAAATATTGAAATGAGATACACAATACCTCCACTGAATTAATGCACTATCTACAGTGCTGTCAAACACATTCCGTGGCTGTGCTGACACCCGAGTATTTATTTTCAGGGTGATGAGTAGGAGGAAGAGAGGAGGAGCAGACTCCCTGAGCCCTTGGGTCCAGGCTCCTGGGACCTGGGGCATAGGAGGAGGTGTAGTTTGGGAGGATGGGACTTGAGTTTCTGGCCACAAGCAATAAATATTTGTGTGTATGTAGAAAAAATGCTCACTGCCTCCCAGCTTGGAGGGCATTTGTTATTTCTCAGTGTTACAACAGACTTGCTTTGGTTGTGATTTGGCCTAGCAAACAGCTAAATCTCTCTACACCCAAACTACACTGGCTCCTGTCTGCTGGGCATCACCATGCCTTTAAGGACATTTCAAATTGCCATTGGAGTTTTTAAGTGGAAAAACTTTTCCTGTGTCTTTGAAGTTGAGAAGATGCTCAGAAGAGAGCGGGTTACTCCCTGTCTAGCACTGATCTAAGCAGAACAGTGAAACCAATGTGTAAGCTTGTGCTTTTATCCTTCCTTTTTTTTTCTTGTTTGTTGTCACTTTAAGCCAATATCCGTGTCCTGGTGCAGCCTAAAAGGTGGTTGGAATCTCATTCTGCTGATGTGTTAGCAAGACAGAGAAATTGTAATTAAATAACAACAATCCTTTTTCCCCCTAAATGTTCTTTCCTTCTAATTTTCAGCATGTAGCAGTCAAAATACATCCAGTGAAAATGTTGGCTATTTATCAGACTTCCCTTTTTTTTTTCCCTTTAACCTATCACTGGCACTTCCTGCATTAGGTACAAGATCCTCATGGAAGAGTTTGCAGATCACAGACATCACTTCGGCCAGGTTACAGCAGCAAAAGGGGAGCGTTTATTTGACACCAAATGCTGACTGTTGCTGTTCTATGGAGCCTTTTGCTGGTCTGTGGGACATTGTTCCACAGATGCTTTCAGTCTGGTTTTGTTGCTTTATGTAACCCAAACCTGTTTCTTGCTTTTAGACCACAGAATGGTTCTATGATCCTGTACAACAGAAAGAAAGTGAAATACAGGAAAGATGGATATTGCTGGAAAAAAAGGAAAGATGGGAAGACCACCAGAGAGGATCACATGAAACTGAAGGTGCAAGGAGTGGAGGTAGGAGCATGGTGGGGGTGGCTGTGGGCTGTTCTGGACTGGGAGGTGACGGCTCCCCAAGACACCTCAACCCAACAAAATCTGTCCACACCTTCTGAAAAATACTCCAATTTGCTGAATTCCATCTGCTCCCCCTGGCCTGGGTCTTAGTTGCTGGCTGGGGTTAAACCATAACTCGCCCTACCCCCAGCAAATACACTTATTCTTTATCACTCCTTTGAGCAAGCTGTGAGTACAGCTTCACCATCCCCCTGTGTGGGCTGGCTGGGCTGTGTGACTGTGGAGTGTCTCCACACTGAGCAGCTTCTGGTAGACAACGTGGTTTTTTTAACAGCACTGCCCAAGAGCAACCTGACACCTCAGGGTGGGCTGCACAGCGCTCTGTAACCATGGTAGCTAGAATGGGTTCAATTTGATTCTCACAAATCTCGGCTAGGTTTTTAGTAACAATTGCTGTAATTTCTGTGTGCTGATGGAGTGTTGGTCTTGCAGTATGCAGGGGTAGAATTTCTGTCGAATTTGGCCCAGAATCCAGGTGTGTTTTGAGAGAACCTTTGCTCTGCTGATGGTTTTCAGCCACTCAGACACATTCATGCAAGTGATATCACCTGAGGCATTATTTCTGGAATAAGCCCATTCGTTTAAAATATGTCATTGTTTGACACCACTTTTCTTTCTTAACCTCCATCTGCATAAGGAGAGAGCTGTTTTGATCACTCTGATCACTTCTGATGCTAAAGGTTTGCACAGGTGTGGATAACAAGTGCATTTATCCAAGTTTTATATTTATTAAATGGCAATTACTTGTTCTGGTAGCAGAAGCCCACCCACAGAGCTGTGCCCAGCTCATTTCTAAGGCAGCAGGGCTGTATTTCCAACCTAACTCGGGGCCAGAGTGGTCCAAGGCTGTTGAAATGTTTAATTGCAGTGTTCAGCTGTGTTATTTTGGCCAAGGAGCATGAGGCTGCCGGGTGTGTGTTTGTGTAGGCTGGGTTGATTTTACAGCTGACAGCCTGTGAGCCTGGCCAGGGTCGAGGTAATTGGGGTGTCTATGACAGGCAGAGCTTCACCTTTTCTCCAGGCCTGTCTGGCAGCCCAGGCTGGACTTTGGGCTAAGCTGAGCTTTCCAGCTTCACATCCAGGCGTCCCTTGGCAGATATTTTGCAAGGCATGAACCTCCCTCCTGTTGGGGCGATGGGCACCCTGTGCTCCCCACGTGCTGCTGGTGGTTGACACTCCTCTGGCATCCCCAAAGTCAGCACCAGCAATGGGAAGGGGAGGAGTGCCCAGAATTCATCTCTTGCTCCAGCTTCCTCCGAGCCCATTTGTCATTCTTACATTCTGTCTGCTCTAATGAGGTTTTGGGGTTTAAAATAGTATTAAATGGATTGCATTATATTACACCAGAGAGGCATAACTTTGTTCCATAATTTTTACATCCAATAACAATGTTTTATTATGACAAGCACAAAAAAAAAAGTCATCATCACAGAAATGGTGCCTTGTTTTTGTTTTGGGTTTGCAGAGCGTGATTTAATTAACTTCTGTAAACTTTCACAATGCAGAACACCAGACCCTCTGCTGCCCCTTTACCTGTAGCAGGAGATTGTTGATAACCTTTGGCTGCCACATGAGCACATGAGAAAATAAATGGGACTTTCTTGGGGTTATTCCAAAGCTGGAGCTATCCAGCCCTTTAGTGCTTGACTGCATGGATGTAGTGGTGATCGTGTTCAGCTCAAAGAACCCATTAATTTCTGTTTTAGTGAAGTGTGGCTCCTGGAAAGTAACAAATACAAATGGGCACATCGTGGGAGCTGGAGGAAGCACAGCTTTCAGGGTTTCTCCTTGTGGCTGATCACATTCACCACTCAGGAAAACAAGTGTTAAACTATTTGCTTTGCAATTTGGATGTACCAGGGTTTAGCCATTCATTCCTACATCCTTCTCCAGCTTGAGAGCCCTTTAGTACCTGATTTTCTATCTTCAAGAAGGTACTTGCACCCTCTCATCCACAGGCAGCATCTGGGTGGTCACTGCCAGTCTCTGTTCTGAACTATGCAGAAAAAGTCTGTTTTCTGGACTTCCAGGTGTTTCTGGGGCAGAATGATGTAGTTTTAACCTTGTTAATTAATTATTCAATCAGTACACCATGGTACTTCACAGACAGTGTTTTGAGTTTAGGTTTCTGATACCATTCTAAAAGGAAACAATGTTCTCAACTTGGACACGTAGGCAGCAGATTTAAAATAACAGAAAAAGGCTTTTTTCAAATTTGGAGTGATACCGTAGTTAGCCGCATTAGGGTTTAACAGGGCATGAAATAACTGTCTGCCTTGTGGCACTGCCAGATCATCTCAGCGACTCTTGCAGCCAGAAGATAAATAGGGATCGTTGTCGCACTGATGGAAAAGTACTTGCAGAGCCGACAGCCAAGAGCATCAATAGCATCCAAACATTGCTCTGGAAATGGCAGCTCGGAGGCAGGGAGGAGGAACATGCTGGCCTGTGAAACTACTGACCAGCCAGTTCTGAACAGGGATTTGCATTAGAAGATTTAATAATTAATTCCTTCCCAAGTGTTGTCAATGCTCCCTTGTCCAAGTTTTGGGTAAATAGAAAAATACATTTTGAAACAAAAAGTCTCTATCAGATCCTGAGGGATGTCGATGTCTATCAGAACCATACAGAAGAATTTGGTGAGCATGGATGAGGCAGCTAAAGCAAATTTAGGACATAAATAAGGAATCAACTAATTTGACTAGGAATACACTAATTTAAATAAATATGGATTAGGAGGAATGAACTACTTAACCAAGCGGATGTTAAATGAAGATGTCCTGAAATCCTCAAGCTGTTGCCTTGGTTAGCATTGCTGTGCAGGAGGGGTTTGGGTATTACTTGGTTAATCTGATCACAGTCCCGTTAGAAAAGGCTGGATAAACCAGAAAGGAGAAGTTAATTTGGCCTTTCCCTTAATACACCTCTTTGTGCAATTCTTTGTGGAATCTCCCGTCTGTGATCCTTTTTAAAATTCTAATTAATTAGGATCCCTGGTGATGTGTTCCTAATCAATTCACATAATTAAAAATTTTAACTAATAAATAATAGTAAGAGGAGTGTTGGAATAGCTTTGCCATGATTCTGGATGGTGCTGCTCCACCTTGCAAGCGCCTGTTTCAGTGGATGCATTTCTGCCTTTTCTTGTGTGTGAACTTTTCCAGGAGAGTGTAACTGCGCCTTCACGTGAATTTGTAGTAAACTGCTGCTAAAATTAAAACGAGGTCATGTTTTTATAGTGAATTTCCCTCTTGTCATCTGTGTTTTGGAAGGTTGACACTGATCCTGCTGCTCTTTATCCTGCATTGAGGATATTTTAGTCTCTCCAAACCCCAGTGCCTGAGAAGTGGTTATGGAGAAAGGCTGTCCCAAGGCTGGGGCAGAGCTGTGCCCCTAATCCCACCCCAAGCACCAGAGCTTCTGTATTTGAAATACCTTGGTCTCTTGAAGATTGGATGTTTGTTACCTTGGTACAATATGATAATCTTTATGAATTCCTTAAAAAAAAAACCAACAAAAAAGTAAAACTTGCTTTGAGTCTTATTAAGAGAGAAACCCCCTTGTGGAGATGGAGATGCGAAGTATCAATTTTGTATGCAGGACTTGTATTTAATTAATATCATAACAGTCCCTTAACACTATTGCAGATTAGTCCACGAGGACAGGAATGAAAATTTTAGATTATTCAATTACTGCTTAAACCCTGGGACATCACCATCAAAACTTTGCACAGGTTTCCGTAGCATTTGGGTTTTGGCAGCATCCCTGTGCCCACGCTGGGTCACCAGAGTGGAGATGGCATCAGTGGCCTCTGCAGCCTGGAGCTGGGGGCACCTGCACAGGACCAGACTTTTTGCTTTTGGTAAATGACCAAATGGGCTCCTCTGCATTGTGCCAAATAGTCCACCACAGAATATTGAACTGCAGAGTAGTTTTACATCTCTCTATCCTGTTATCATGGGTGAAATCTACTCGGTTGTCACGGGAGGGTGAGAGCAGCCTTGGAGGTGGCACGTTGGAGCAGCCCTAATCTGGAGAGTGATTCCTTGGGCAGCCTGAGACAATTCGCTCCAATTCACTTTAATTTACATGGGCTTTGCTCGCCCTCAGAGGTGAGCTGTGTAGTTGGCAAACTAATTAGGATCACATTGTTCAGTCAGTCTGCTTAATGCATTTCTGAGAAACACTGTGGAATGGCTTTGGAGGAAAAAGAAGAGTTTAATGTGAGAGGCTTTCTGGAAACACGACACACACAACACACACAGGTGGGCAGACATTAACACAAACAAGCGGCCCTGACAAGGGAGAAACTGCTCACTAGGAGGGGCACTTTTCTGTTCTGCATTATTGCTGCAAATAGCATTGTCCTGACACCTCTCCTGAAATTTGACTGGTCCCCTTTATAACCAGCCTCTCTGTTAACCCCCTGTAGCTCATTAGAGGCCATGGAGTCCAACAGCATCTCCCCACTTTTGCTGTGGCACGCTCATCTTTGCAGTGTGCACCACATGCAGATGCTGGTGCAGGAATGTGGAGGTGTTGACTGCTCATGAGCTGTGGTTGGGATTTATTCCTGTTCCAGCTGGTGTTTACAGCACCTGGAATGCAGGGTTGTGATGGCATCTTAACGATTCCTGTGTTGGAGGCAGTCCTGGGAAATGGGAGCATTGCTTTGCCATTTCTGAAGGGGGAGTATGGATTATTGTTAAATCCGGAATGGATCTCCTGGGAGTCTCTTCAGAAGGGAACATACATATCAATAATCCTTTCGTATATCAGGGTCCTGATGTATTCTCCTGCAGTAACATAAAGTCACAGCAAATTCTCTTGAGTTTTAGCTTCTTTTCCTAATGCCTTGTACACGTCCGGAAGATTTTTTTCTTTACAAGACCCATAACATTCCTAATCCTTTAATTGTCATGGCTTATTTAATTTCATCA